CCCCTCTCTGTCTCTGGTGAATCCTCTCACCCTCCACATCTCTGGCTGTACCCCAGTTCCATATGAATAAATAAATAAATCTTTAAAAAAAAAAAAAACACTCTCAATTTAATGGGACTAATGTCCTGTATGCTTGCTAGCGTAGGTTCTATTCAAAGCATAACTGGTGCTTCATTTGTTTGTTTATACTTTGGGGGAAGGATAAGCTAGATACTTCCTTAATGGAGCATATGTACCTCAGTGCTCAGAAAACCTTTTGCTGTAATCGATCTTCCTGTGCTAGCATTCTCTTGCTTCCGTTTCAGAGAAGTAAGAGTGGCTTTATTGAGATGTAGAAGTAGACTTTTAAATCTTAAAGTGAAGGGTCAGAATGAGCTTTGTCCACAAGGGAGGAAGCCTGCCAGAAGGCACTTAACACTGTCATTCCTTTATCTATTATCTTGGTAAATTCCAACTTTCACATTCTAGTCTCATCTCAGGTACATGACAGAATCTGTGTCAGTTGCATCACTTCACCGCCTACTCAAGGAGCTGTGCAGACAGACCCGGCCTCGTCCTCAAAGGACTGTGGCAGCTAAAGCAGATGCCAGAGGACAAGTGTGGATTGGCTGTTTAATTCCTGACAGGAAGGTCCCTAATCATATGTCATTAGAGACAAAGTACCAAGCTAATGAACAGGTGGTAACGAATTGCATGAGATTAGTATCTTCCCTGCAAAAAAAGAAAAAAGCGCTTAAAATCCACAGCTCTTATTTATTGATTGTGCTGCATGCCAGACACAGAGCTAGTGCATTGTCTTTCTCCCTCTTTTGATCTTTCAATTTGCCTTTCTTTCTGTTTATTTTTTATTATTTTATATATTTTTTACATCATTTATCATTTTTTAAAAAGATTTATTTATTTGTGCATACAGAATGGGGGTACAGGCCAGAGGCTCAGGGGCGGTGAGAGGCTTCACCAGAGACAGAGTGGGGAACAGAACAGGAAGATCGACGAAGTACACTGCTGAGGGGAGCAGTGGGCAGGTCAGGAGAGGTCTGCCGCGCCATGTGGTCACCTCCGGGACAGGCGGGAATCAAACTCATGAGGAAGCGACTTTAGATTCTCAGTGCTGTTCTTTTAACCCACTGCGCCACCAGGGAGGGCCTATCATTTTTATACAATGTATGTGTTATCATCTTGGGCGTAATCCCTGTGAAATTCCCACCTCAATAGACCCGTGCATTGTCTCATTTAATACTCAGAACAGTGAATAAACTGAGGTTTAGAGAAGCTACTTGCCCAGAATTTTACAACAAACAGTGGTAGTGCCTGAGTACAATTTTAAGCCTTAGGCCACCAGTCAAATAAACTCAGTTCTGTGAGGCTGGGTTAGAGTTAAGAACTAGCACTTGAGCACTGACGTTTTAAAACCATTTTCAGCAAGTCATCTTTGTCATCCCACTCCTCAGTGTTGCCAGAGAATGGAATAGAATAGAATAAAATAATATAAAACACCTGCCCTTTATGACATTACTGAATTTGTATAGCTCATGGTTGGTATTTCTAACCTATAACATCAGTAGAAACTAAAGCCTGATTGTGTCAGCACATGTGATTTAAAGCAACAATGGAATGTAATGTAAGCTTATTTTCATCTTTCTTCAGTTAGCTTTTGCTAGAAATTATGATCCATGGGTCCTTCAGTTTTTGGTCTAAGTTCTTTTCTGAAAAGTAATTTTTTTTTTTAAGATTTTATTTATGTATGCATACAGAACTGGGGTACAGGCCAGAGGTGCAGGGGTGGTGAGAAGATTCACCAGAGACAGAGTGGAGAGCAGAAAGGCAGATCCAGATTGACTAAGTACTCTGCTGAGGGGAGCAGTGGGCGGGTCAGGAGAGGTCTGCCGCACCATGTGGGTCACATCCAGGGCAGGCAGGGATTGAACTCATGCTGAAGTGGCTTTAACTTCTTAGTACTGTGCTTTAACCCCCTGTGCCACTAGAGAGGGTCCTGAAAAGTAATTGTTAAGTTGAAATTTTAAAAGGCACTTCCATTTAGGATGTAGCCAAGTAGCTGAATTTTCTATTTTCCAACCATCTCCTGAGGGGGCACACACTGACTGTCAGAGGACAACTGGCTCACCTGTCTGGGACCCCTGAATGGCCAAAGAGACAACCCAGGAGAATGAGATCAGATGTTTCAAGGAATCCTTGGCTATATAAAGAAAGTAATTTCTAGTATAGACAAGGAAAGCACTTTTATCTCGTGGACTTGTATTTAACAATATGACCATATTGGTTCCTACCTGGGGCAGTTGGCTTCTGCTCTCTGCCTCAGTTCCCATATCTGCCAGCTCTGCAGGAAGCACTGACAAGAATTAATTGGTTTTCCTGAGCTCAGTTCGGCTTCCTAGAGCCAGCAATCCCACAGGAACGCTGCTCTTGCATAATTTATTGTCTAGAAGACTTTCTGTTTTTAGGGTTCTGTCTGATAGGCACCATATACACATACATTTTCAAATGTCATATATGAGAACCTTGAGAGTCTTTCATGGTATTTAGTTTAAGAAAATGGGATATGACCACATTCCAAGTATTCAGATTATTTGTTGCTTTTATGAGGGTTCTGACATGGTCCCATCTAAAATGTATGATTCACACAAAGTGCTTGGTTCCCCTTCCTCTAGTTGTCAGTATTTGTATAGTGGCAAAATGGTCTTCCATTTCATCATGGGTTCTCTGATCAAGAGAGTTTCTGGGTGGGAGTTTTTCCTAATTGTCAATTCTATTTATAGTCTCTCAAATAATATATCAAGATAGGCAAGCCAGATTCTATTCCATTGTTTAATATCCTAGGGAGTCCCCTGTTCTCAGAGGCACTACTTTGGGGAAATTATATTGATTCCATTTTAGAAGTAACAAAAATACAAAGAAAGTTGTGTCTAACTCCATGGCAGCTCATCAGTACAAAAATCTCAGTGTGGGAAGGGGCTTCCAGTTGTCTCATCAGCTCTCTGGTGAGTGCTAGCTTCTACCTAGACAAATGCTGGATCTCTGTCTATGTGTCTACCTTGGACAGCACACATTTGTTCCTAAGAAGCAACTCCATGCCACTGCTAGATAAATCAAATTCTAGGTGATTCTTTTTATGATAGATTTAGAATACTCTCTGTAACTTGTATCAATTAGTCTTAGTTTGTTCTCAGCAGCTACATGGATTAAGCCTACTGGTTGATTAATTGATCTACTCATTCAGTTATTCACTCTGTATTAAGTGCCTCCTATGTATAATAAAATAGCAAGACCTGAGTGAGACTCAGACTCCAGAACAGGCCCTTGCACTGAAAGCATTGGTGAGAGTAGACTGGTAATGACTGACACAATCTTGGTCCCCACATCTGGAATCTCCCGGAGAGCACCCCTCTCTACTTTCCACACCTCCAGACTGTATCTGTGGGCAAGACTGCTTTGCTTTCTGGTGAATAATTACTTATTAACATCTGGAAATGATTCTAAATACTTGTGGTAGAGAATACAGGATCCAAAGGTAGTGAAATATCTCAGGACTGATTCCTGCCTCCAGTGAGGTCCCACATAGGCTGAGCATATCTCATCAAAGAAATGATAAAGATTCATTAGAACAAAGGTGTTGTGTGTGCACACATAGAGTTAAATGTAATCTTTTCTCTGGTGCTTTATGTATGGTTGGCGATAAGGTCCATCTTAACTATATTCTTTTTGTTGTTATCTCTTTGTTTCCTTTCTTTGTCTAACTTGAAATCACAAAGACAAAGAAAGTGCAACTAGAAACTTAGAAGAAATGCACAGCTTTGAGCTGGTTTGTTACTCACAAAATTAGGCCATTTGTTGAATGAAGTGAATATTGTTAGTAATTTGGGGGAATCTTTCAACCTGTTACTTGATCTTAAATATCTTAATTGCTTGCTTTTATTTTGCAAATGAGTACCTAATATGTGCCTGGCTTTATTGTAGGTGTTGGACTATGTTATTGATGAAAATAGTTTGATCTTGCATTCATGAAATTCTTCCCTTTATCTACCAAGGGGGCACAGTCAATAAGTAAATAAATAATTTAAACATGTGTTATATTAGCAGACAGTGTTGGATGGGGGGGTCGATGAAAACCTACAGAAGGCCACGGGGATTAGGTTTGCCTGGGAGCAAGGAGGAAGGGCACATTGCAATCTGAGATAGGATGGCCAGGGTCCTTACGTAGGTAGCAATCAAGCAAAGATTTGGAGGTGAAGGGGATCAGGTATACAGGCATCAGGGAAAGAGAGTTCCAAGGAGAGAAAACAACTAATGTAAAGGCCCTGAGGCAGGAACATTTATTTCTACCTGTACTTGGAGTCATTAATACTTTACAGACAGAGACAGCCTTCTGTTGAATAATGCCAAGAAAGATCATATATGCTGTTGTCTATTGAGATAGTAGATTTTGAAAATCAGTTCTCCAGTTTTCTGGTTTCTGACCACAGCTGGTGTAACCCTCTGTGGTCTGCCTCCCCAAGATACCAGCACTGTGGGCTCTCAGGAAGACAGGGGATCTAGACATCTGAGTGCTCTCAGGGCACGAGGAGCAAAACCTGAGGAAGAGGGAGGCCTCGAGGAGAAAGGATGCCATGTCTCCACAGGCAGGGGCGGTGGCTGGTGAGGCAGGAGAGAACTGAAGCCAAGCACCCACTCACTGTCTGCTTCTGCTTTGGTTCCTAGGTACAGCAGATGTCGCCTATGCCATGGATCATACCTTTTCAACTGCATCAAAAGATGGTGAAGGCACATGCTACACGTCTCTGATTTCTGACATCTGTTACCCATCTCAGGAGGATTCTACATACTTCACTGGAATCCTTCAGAAGGAAAATGGCCATCTCGCCACATCAGAGAGTGCTGAGGAGTTGAGTACCCCCAGACCCTCCTTACCAGAAGTGCCTGGGACGGAGCCTCATGTCTTACTTAGTTCTGATTCTGGAATAGAGATGACGCCCGCAGAGTCCAACGAAGTGAACAAGATCTTAGCTGACCCCCTGGACCAGATGAAAGCAGAAACCTATAAATACATTGACATAACTAGGCCAGAGGAGGTGAAAAGTCAGGAGCAGTGCCACTCCAAGGTGGAGGAGAAAGACTCGGACGCTAAGACGAAAAACTCTGAAATCTCAACAAAATCTGACGAGGACCGTGAGCCTGAGAAACCAGCTCCTGTGGAGGGAAAAATCCTCAAGGACCACTTGTTTGAAGAGTCAACGTTTGCACTCTACATAGATGACCTGTCTGAAGAGCAGCACAGTGCGTCTGTGGTCACCGCCCCTGTCAAAATTACACTGACTGAGATTGAACCTGCTGTTGAAACTGCTGCCCAAGAGCAAACCCCAGAGAAGCAAAGTCTCTGTCTGAAACCAAGTCCTGACACAGTCCCCACTGTCACTGTCTCAGAGCCCGAAGACGACAGCCCGGGATCTGTCACTCCTCCATCTTCTGGAACAGGTAAGCAGACTGGTGTCCCTGCCTTAGAAACACTGAGCATGTGGAAAGCTGAATGTTAAGGAATGAAGATGCATTCAGAATATGTCACTGATGGGTCCCTTTCAGTCTCTGTTTAATTGATTTAATAAACACACAATTTTTTTTCTTGTGTTTCACAAAGGTTGAGAGCCAGGATTTCCCTTAGAACCTTGCCAGATGTGCTTTGTAAAAGTTTCTCTCTTCAGAGGTGAGAAGTTGTAAGGATGCCACACTGGGAACATTAAAATGGCTACCAAGTTAGCTTCTGTCCTAGGCCCAAGGCTTCCTGTAGTAATCACTGGGGAGAACACCTTGGTAGATGCCCCCAGACCAGCTGGGCCTCCTTGGGCTAGGTATTCACAGTCCGATCTCTAGCTCCAGGCCTAAGGTGAAGGAGGGGGGCCTTCAGAGAACTGGGAGGAGGGGAAGGTTGTGAGAGGAAACCTAACAATTAGTATTCTCCCCTTTATCCTCAGCGTTGTTCTTTGCATCTTTATTATCTATTAAACTTAAGGATTTAGTTTTATTTTTTAACTAAAGGATTTATTTGGTCAGAATCTTAAAAGCTCAGAATTCACTGGGCTGTGCTCTTCTGCTCTGACTCAGATTGGCCCTTAAACACCACCAGCTGCATCCACACAAACACAGAGGGCGGCTTCCATCCAGGTGGAAGGCCAGAGTGGTAGCTGGCACTTCCCACCCTCCCTGTGTGATCACCTCTCTTGAACATCCATAAAGCAGCAGGCTGGAGGGGACAGTGGGATCCTTGACCCCTGCCTCCAGTGGCTGGCATTCTGACCCTCCCCAAAAGGTCAGCATCTCTGGTGAAAGAGCTCCCAGTGACTTCTCAAAATGGATTCAAAGCATTGTGACTAGGAGTGAGTGCTCTGGACTTGATGCTGCAGTAAGTCCAAGTGTTAAAAAAGAACATTTGATGGAAATTCTGCCTGCCCTATTTCCCTACAGATTTTGGCATCAATCTCTCTCCTACCCCAACTTTACATCAAGCTCATTTAATTTAAAATGTCTCTTGTTTCTAAATTCCTCCATTAAGTCAAAAAAAATTTCTACTTTTTTTTTTGGTCAGTTACTGGCAATGTTGAAATTAAGAAATACATAGAACAATTCCTGCCCTCCAGCGGGACAGCTGACCAGGGAAGTAGTAACTCTGCTGTCATTTATGGTCTGATAGGAGGGACACAGAGTACTGAGCAGCACTGGGAATCCCACCACTTCCTAGTAAACTGAGGGTTAGGGCTAGAGCTAGTAAATCATTTTAACCTCTTTGAAAGCTAATGTTACTGTTTCTCACACTGTTGAGGTCAGTGATTCTCCTGCCCATTTTGAAAATTCACTTTTATTTAGAAATTACTCCTGGAGTGACTTCTATATGTCACACATGTGCTGAACACCAGAGATATTGCAGAAACCAAGATGTATAAAGTCCCTGTTCATGGAGACTACCAGCTAAGAGACAATAAAGGAGATACATGATAGAGAGTAAATTTCATGGCACAGGAGTACTACAAGGAGAGAGTGTGGAGTGAGAGGTCAGGAGGAACCTTTCTAAGAAAGTAACATGTGATCTGAGGTCTGAATAGCAGGAGCCCACAATTCATAGAGTGCCCATAAGGGGACCCAGGTACAGAAGGCAGTTCATGCATGGACTTCAAGTTTGTTGTCTATGTGGGAACTGTGTAATATTGCAAACAAGGGCACAGAAGTATGACACCAATAGGCAGGGCCCATGTTCATATGCTAGAATAAAGGATTGGGACTTTGTTCTAGATGTACAGGAAGAACAATGGAGGGTTTAAGCTGGGCAGTGACATTTTTCATTCATCCTTTAACAAGTATACATTGACTGTGTGTCCCCAGCATTGTTCCCTCAGAGCTGGGGATATAATGGTGAAGACAAGATCCCTGACTACATGGAACTTGCATTCAAGTTGAGAAGATCCTCACATGGATCAATACATACAGACATAATATCAAGTGGCTAGAATGGTTTGAAATAAAATAAAGCAAGGTTCATTATAAGAGAAAGGTGGTGAGGGAAGGCTTCTCCCTATTATGTTTTGCATAGAGACTTGAAAGGGTGAGGGAGCAAGACAGGTAGACACCAGAGGAAGCAGCACTAACCTGAGGGGACAGAGTACCTGGAAAAGTCCTATGTGTTCAGGGAGCAAGCCAGAAGTTCAGAGTGACTGGCGTGGTGCTTTATTTTTCTTCAGACTCTACCTTCTTTCTAAGCAGGTGTAGCATGAAAGTGAGAGAAACACATGGAACATGAGTTCAAGTTCATGACACACATATCTAGCCATGTGACTACATTATTCTGGTCCAGGTGGGAAATAAGTCACATACTCAAAGGTTGTAACCAAAGAGAGTTTAAGAAAGGGCCATTTACAGATGAATAAAGACTGCTAGGAGAACCAACAAAAGATGGCAAGGCACTCAAGGACTTGCACCACTGGGTTGTCACTAGCAACTCTAGACTTAAAGCAACAAGGGAGGGAAAACATTCCTCAAGTCTTCCAAGACCTGGAGCTTCAGAATCAACAAGAAGTTAGAACAGGCCACCATTTTCTTGCTCCTACCCTTTCAGTGATTTCTACTGGTTGAAAATGACTAGAGCCAGAGGGAAAGGGACCCCAGGCAATGCCTTCCATACGGTTCAGCCTCTGAGAGCACAAAACAGAGCAGAGAAAGATGGAAGTGAGGCCAAGTGTGCTGAGAGCGAGAAACCAGCCCCGTAACCAGACACCTCTTAGCCTGTGGCCCAGCAGATGCCGAGCTAGTGGAGCTCTGGCTGCATCTGTCACTCCTTCATCTACACCGGCTTCCCCTCACACCTTCCTCCTCCTTGCTCTGGCTTGCCATTCAGACATACACTAAAATCACTTGTCCACCTTTATGCTGTTTGAAATCATATCAAAGAACTATGTTCACAAGTTCATAAGGACCTAACTGCTATAAAAATAGTTTGAGATCATGTAATAAATCCTTTCAAACCTAAATCATGCGAGAGAGAATGCAGTGGTGGTTGTTTAAGTTACTGAAACAATAGGAACTACATAGATCATATCCCTGTCTCTGCTCGAAACTCTCCACTGGTCTCTCATTTCATTCATAATAAAAGCGTTATGGGATCCTACATGATTTCACTCCCCTCTATGTCTTTTGCCTCTTTCCCTGTTATTCTCCTTCTAGTCACTTTACCCAGACACCATGGCCTCCCTGTGATACCTAGATCATTGCATTTCCCACCTGCAGACCTTTGCTGTCTGTTGTCTGCCTGGCCAGCTCTTTCTCTGCTAGGTTGTTTCATAGATCATGATTTCCCTTCCTCTAATGTTGAATATGGGGTATCTTCCCAATGACCCTTAGCTTGACTTCCCTATTTAAAACTGCAAGCTCATCTCCACCCAGTTTAACCTCAGTCCCAGCCCTGCTAATCCCTTTACTTTACTTTTTTGTTTCATAGCACATAACTTGTAACACACCACATACTTATGCCAGTTGTGCATTATGTGCACCAACAAAATCATACTAGATTTTATTATCTGTTTCATTTACTAATATATTTCAAATACCCAAAGAGAGTCTACCATCGAGTAAGTTCTCAGTGAGGATAATAGATGAATGAATGGTGTATGAATAAGAAAAAACTCAATTCTGGTTTATAGAGAATTAGAAAAATTTATATTGTTTTAGCTAGCCATCGGCATTCTTCTACCTTCAAAAAGCAGCAGATTAGCCATAGATATCTACTCCCTGCCCCCAACCCCCATCTTAACCAGTGGCCTCAAAAGTTTGGAGCAACGGCAAGTAGTTTTTGCTCACAGAAGAACCACAGGCCCCTCTCTAGAATATCTGAAATAAACCCCTGCCCTACAGAGGGAACATCAAGCTCATCAAAAGTGTTGTCATAGTGAACTGGGTAGTTTTATCTGTGGAGAGGAGTATCAGCAAGGTTGCCAGTGAAGTTTTCTGGCCTCCTGGATATAAATTTTCAAAAGAAGGTGAGGAGAGAAAACAATGAGGTGGGCTCGACCCTCAGAGGCCTTGCAGGACCCTGTACTGGGGTATCTGCACAGCCTGCCCCGTAAGCTGGCAAACGCTACGCCTCGTACTGTTCCACCTGGTTATACTTCTTCCTAAAAATCTTGATTCTTATGGCAACTGTAAAGCTCAGAATGGTGTACAAGGATTCAAATTAACTTTCTTTGTCCTAAAGGGATATGAATAGAACTGACAAGGATAATGGATGGGTTTCAGATTTGTTGATACTGGTAGTTCACCTAAGAGTATTACATCAGATTATCTGATGAAATCTCTGAAATTGGAAAACTTCCCCAAGAGAATGAATCAGAAATTAAAACGACTTCCAGAAACTACTACACTGAAAAATGGAAAAACCAAGTCAGGTACTGTTGCTAAGAAATTGCTGGGTCACTTTTGAAAATAAATGGGTATGTCAAACACTGATTAACTGGGCGATAGGTGGCCTGTCTTTCCCACATAGCCCTGGAAACAGACTATTTTTGCCCTAATGAGATATGTGTTTCTCAAGCAAGGAGAAAATATTTCTTCTAATGGAATTTTGTTTTATTTCTCCTCTCCCTGTCCATCTGTCTGTCCGTGTGTGTGCCTCCCTGGCTCTGCTTTGCTCTGGGACAACAGAACCATCTGCTGCAGAATCCCAGGGGAAATGCAGCATCTCGGAGGATGAGCTGATCACTGCCATTAAAGAGGCCAAGGGGTTATCCTATGAAACCAGCGAGAGCCCACGGCCAGCGGGCCAGGCAGCAGATCGGCCTGAAGCCAAGGGTAGGTCCGGGCTGCCGACCATCCCCAGCCCCCTGGACCACGAGGCCAGCAGTGCAGAGTCAGGGGACTCGGAGATCGAACTGGTGTCCGAAGACCCGCTGGCCGCTGAGGATGGGCTGCCTGCGGGCTACGTGACCTTTAGCCACGTGGGAGGGCCACCTCCCTCACCCGCGTCCCCGAACATCCAGTACAGTATCCTGAGGGAGGAGCGCGAGGCTGAGCTGGACAGCGAACTTATCATAGAGTCATGTGATGCCTCCTCCGCCTCAGAGGAGAGCCCCAAGCGGGAGCAGGACTCGCCCCAGATGAAGGCCGGAGCCCTAGATGCCATCCGGGAGGAGCCAGGAGCGCGGGCCGAGGAGGGTGCGCCCAGCCGGGGAGGCCTGGGCGAGCAGGGCTCCCTTCTCAAGTTCTCCCCGACCGCCCCTGAAGCCAGCCCAGAGCTGCCTTCAGAAGTCGCCCGGACGCCCGAGGGGGCTGCTGCACAGCGGAAACCTGCGGAAGAAGCCAGGAGTTCCAACCAAAGCCCAGCGGCCACGAAGGACCTAGGGCCTCACAGTCCTGGAGCGCCCCTTCCGCTGTTTCTCAATAAGCAAAAAGGTAATGCTTTCCTAAGTGAAACTTGTCTGATAACTGTACTCCGCCTAGGTGTGCTGAGATTTCAGCAGAGTGGCAGTTCCCCTCAGCTCTACCATGAGGCCACCATCCAGTCAAACCATGACAACATACAATTCCAGGGGGTGGAAGTTGTAAGAATTCAGATTCACAGCTGGGGCTTGGGTGGCAGAACCACACCTCCAAGCGGTTCTGGGCCGACTGGGTGGGAGCAACCCCAACAAAAACTGACTGTGTACACACCAAGATCTCCTGGATGGAATGGATGAATGTGCCTTTCATTTCCGGCGGGGTTTTCTCGCTTGGAAAAGGGTGATCTTTCTGTTATTGTCCAGGCTCATTTCCAGTAGCTCCACCTCTTACTTCTAACCCCCAACAGCCCCCTCCCCCAACACACCACACACACACAAACACAGTGGTGAGGGAGTGACTATAGCCCCTCTAGCTGCTAGGGTCCACATTCCATTTAGAAAGTAAAATTTGTGTCTTAAATGGTCCAATTGGATGTCAGTGACATCCTTTCTGTAACCACAGGAGGAAGGGATTTATTTAGACCTCAGTAAGGTATTGATGTCCCATCTAGTTAGAAAATATAGGGATCAAAGCCAGTTCTAGTTTCTCTTTGTCACAAGACCTAAGATGACCATTTTTTTTTAAGATTTATTTATTTATTCATATAGAACTGGGGTACAGGCCAGAGATGCGGAGGGTGAGAGGCTTCACCAGAGACAGAGTGGGGAGCAGAACAGGCATATCGACAAAGTACACTGCAGAGGGGAGCAGCGGGCGGGTCAGGAGAGGTCTGCCACGCCATGTGGTCACCTCCGGGGCAGGTGGGGATCGAACTCATGTGGAAGTGGCTTAAGCTTCTTAGTGTTGTGCTTTAACCAGCTGCGCCACCAGGGAGGGTCAAGATGACCAATTTTTAAAGTCGCTTATAACTTATAGTGATTTTAACTTGGCCATCGTATTCTACCTATGAGAAATTTAAATTGAAGTCTTTAAATGCAAGAAAAATGGAAGTCATCATTTTATTTTCCAGACAGGGTACGTGTGAAGGCTTGCTTCACCCCCAGTCCCACACCCCCAAATCATCCTATACCCAATTGCAGCTGTATTTCAGAATTCAGGAAAAGAATGGGTGAGCTGAACAGATTAGGCACTGCACAGTCAGGTTGATGAACTACACTGAAGGAAGGAAGAAAACTCTCCAGTACCTGGGTGATGTACATCCAGGTATAATTCTAAAACAAGTCCCCAAAGCACAGTTTTACTTAGGGTTTCCTCCCACCCATCTCCTCTGTTTTTTGTTTCTTTGGACAAATTTTGCCTTTTTGGGATAAATGATTTCGAGAGTACACCCTCCTTCCTGTGTATATGCTAACTTCAGTGATGTTAGTAGCAATTAAAGTGCATCATATAAAAATAGAGTACAAAATCTTTCTCATTAGAGATTAGAAGCTAACTTCTAAATTCTTTAAAATTGGGGAAGGAGAATATAGAGGAATGTGTTAGGGTAACCCTGCTGCCTAGTTGCTGGTGCTTACACACATGACATGCTATGGGGTCAGGATAAGCGACCTGACTGTCCGAAGAACTCTCCCCTGAGAGTTTAAAGTGTACTTTGTGTGTACAGTAGGAAAGCTTCTTGGTGGAAAATTTAGCAGTGGGAATATGTGTTTGGTGGGAATATGTGTTTGTAGGGAATATTAAAATGATTTTGGATTCTCTCGCCCCCAGTCTGACTACAGAAGGAAAGGGTGCTCCAGACACCACAGATGATATGAACAACTGCTAGTCCCCAAACCAATCAAGCTTGAATTCACATCACTGTGCTGTAACAGGCATGTGTTTTCACTTGATTCCCCAGCTAGTGCCCTGAAACAGTCACTGCATGTACAGTGCTGTTCAAATATACTTATTCTCAAAAGTAGATAAATCTGAAGCTATATTTTTTTAAAGATTTATTTATTTATTCATACAGAACTGGGTAGAGGCCAGAGATGC